ACTCATTTTCTTTCTCTTTCACTACAAGAGCATGTGAACTTTCAAGTGTTTCCGATTGCTTTTGAAGCTCATCAACTTTTTTCTCCAATGAACCCTTTATTTTAATAGCATCCACATAGGAAGTTTCCATATTTTGATAACGCGTTTCAAGATCTGAAGCGCGCTCTTCAGCCTCCTCTCTTTCTTTCGTGACTTTGGTGTATGATGTTTCATATTTTTGACAACGTGTTTCGAGTTCATTAATTTGTTTAAGTAATGTCTCTCTGTCATTAGTGGCTATATTATAAGATGACTCTAAATTCTTATAACGTATTTCTAATTCTTTTGCTTTTTTTTCTTGCTTCGTCTTTTCATTAACTTCAGTAGTGTATGAAGATTCTAGATTTTGATAACGCGAACGAAGATCAGAAATTTCTTCCGAGACAACAGTTGTAGGCATTGAGGCAATATCTGATCCAGCTGTAGAGGAAATAATTGATGAATTCCTGGCTGCTTGATAATTAGTGTATAATGTATTCTCAAGACTTTTGATACGAGCTTCATATGCCTATAAGTTAAAATAAATAATGATCAGTAAAAAAAATTATTAATAGTTATGAAAAAGTAAATTGAAATGTTTGAAACCTTTATTTTCTCTTCGGCCTTGTTTAATAGATTCGTTTTCTCAACATAAAGGTCCATATTAGCATCCATTGATGGGGAATTACCTTCAGAGAAACTTTGTCGCGAAGCCCGTTTGGAACGACGTCCTGGTTGAGATGATGCTGGAGGAGTTAATGAACGACCTAAAGAAATTGCATTGTAAGTATATTTACGTAGATCGTTTAATACATGGATAATAAAACTTACTCTCAAGTAATGTAATTGGACGCGATATTGTGCTGTTATTTTTATCATTAGCATTCTTTTCGGAGAGAACTATAACAACGGAACAAAATGTATAAATTACATATTAAATGATACGCTCAGCAATAACAGAATGTATTCGACTTACAACTTTTCTCTATAGCACGATCGAATTCATGATTCATTCCTTCCAGTTGACTAGCCAACTTCAATAATATCGTATGTAAATTTGCTAAAGGGTCATCGTGAGGAGATTGTATTCGTATCCTGGATAATGAAGCAGTAAAGGTCGAGGAGCGATGATAAGAAACTTGCGACATGATAGCCGGACGAATTTCTTCTATAAGATTTAAAAAAGCTATTTACAATAGGATTATTAATTACAAAGATATAAACTTAGGTATATAAAAGAACGAAAGTATTAACGATAAATGAATTACAATGCACGTCTCTCATCGTAAAGGATGGTAATTTATCTTCCTTAATATTGGCCGTAGATATGTCACACGTGGGAGGATTATCATCTAATGCTATAAATTTGCCAATAAAATTAATCAGTAACAATGCAAACACATGGATAAAATTTAAATGAATATATACCCGGAATGTTAACTGGAACATATTTCTTCACTTCCGTTCTATAATAATCGCGTCTTTTCTGTTCCGTATTACGAAAAAGACCCATTATCTCAGCCATTTGTTGTGCCTTTGAGAGTATAAGCTAAAAAAATGATAATCTATAAATAATAGGTTACAGAGAGTAAATAAATAATGACATGGTACAAACTTTTGCATATTCTTTCCTTCTCACAATCTCAACAATAGTCATTGCCTAAATGTAAAAGCTTCCAGATTAATATATATATTATTATAAATACAATTAAAAAACAATTATAACAATATTTACATAAGCTATTGGCATTTGATGAACATGATTTAATTCTTTAAAATCTTGAGCTTTAGATCGAACATCAGTATCCAATCCGCTTAATAAACTGGGAATACCAGCAATGGAAGATTCAAGGCGAGATATTTCTTGTAAATTGGATATCAATGTCGAAGTCATTGTATTCTAATATATATATATTTTTAATGACAAATTAAAAATTAAAAATTATAAAATTGTTAAGTGATTTGAAAAAAAAATTACCTTGCATTGAACAAAGAATATCACTTGCTCGCGAATATATTGATCGAATTTTTGCATATCTACAAATTGACGCGTATAAGATAAACTTCGAACCAGATAACATGTATTGTGATATGTATAATTTTTACCTGGTAAATACTCTTGTGATTGGATGCTAGCAAGGTGTTCAAAAGCTTCAATGGATTTTGTTGCTACTGTAGATAACGCGCTGGCATTTGACTCGAGAATTTTTGATACTTGATTTTGCACGCGCGTGACATCTTTAAAAAATTTGATGAACACGTGTTTTACTATTCGATATACCAAAATATTTCTTTCAATAAATAATATGATCATTTATACCTCTTTCCAACTTTTCAGCAATTTGCTTTAACTTATAATGCCGATCCTGAACATTACCAAATGTTTCCTTCATTTTAGGAAATCTGAGGTACAAATAATCTAATTAAACTCGGTACGTTATTTTTAACAATAAAACACATAATACGTACAAGCTATCAAATCTTTTCTTTTTTAATGTCTCTGTACCAGATTGAACAGAGTGAATAGAAGAAGCCAACGACTGAACACGTTTAGCAATTTGATCTAACGACGAACATAATGTCAAATTAATTAAGTATTTAAATAAGTACACAAATTAATAAATACAAAGACAAAGACAAAAACAAAACAAAAAATTTTATTGGAACATTATATATACCGTAAATTTGTTTACCCTCCGTCGCCAAAGTTATAAGCTTGTCCTCATTTACATAATCGGCTAACGTATAATACTTTTTGTCGTTTGTTAAAATACCCCCATATTTTGATATCTCAGGATGAATGGTAATGCGTCGAAGCGTCTCGATATCGACCGATAAACTAATATTAGAATCTATTAGAATTTATTCTGAATAAATCAAAAAGTTGCACGTTATATTAAAAAAAATATGCATAAAAACTTTTGAATCAGCCTTGTATGTTTGATTATTTCTTTTTCCGCAAATGTGTAAAAAACTTCATGGGCATCGATTACAGAACTAAAATGTAGGAAGTCAATGAAGATAGAAATTTTTTTAGTAAGTTAAATAACTAGATCTGAAACAACAAACGTGTACAAACCGGCTGTGAGCATCAAGATTTGTGAGGGCGGCATTCAATGCCATTAGTTGCATCTTTTGTTCTTGATATGACTTTTCACAAAACTCCGTATGTATGGTAGCCGCTTTGAGGAATGACTTTTTAAAATTAAAACAAAAAATAATTATGATTTGAAATTCAAGATTTAATTCTCATAATAATTATAATAATTTTGATAATGATGCTCACCTGCCCTTGAGAGTGATAAGTTTGAAATAAATTGACATAAGCACCACATTCATCGGACAGATTTATGTTACTCGAAGGGCCACGTTTTTGCACCTTTGATGACGTAGAAGCTGCAATTTTATTATCATAATTGAATAGAAATTTAATATATGAAAGTTTATTAAAATATAAGTATAAATTTGATCTTACCAGTTATAGGAGGTTCAAATAAAGGTTTTTCAGCAAGTGACTCTTTGATATTTGCATTATTTGAATCAAGAAGTTCCCTGTTGAAAAGAAATATGTAATCATCCTTACACGTATAAATCGAAATGTATTAATAAAAAGGATAATTTAATAAATCAAAAAAGGAGGGAGAAAAATAATTCCAAGTATAAAAGTTGATCTTCACCTTTCCAACAGCTTTATTCACATCACTCATCATTTGACCTTTGAGTTGTGTACCAAGGTTCGTCATCAATATCTGTGAGGATACTGGTACACCACTCACTTGCTCTAACTCCGTCTTAAGGCCATCTAAACTAAATATTCATGTGATTATCGAATCAACGTTAAAATGATAAAATAATTTAGTAAGTAACAAATAGTTTTATCATTCCAAAAAGCATAGCAAAGTAAGAAAGAAAAAAAGGATTTTTAACATAGAAAACAAAAATTTTGCCGTCTGTAAAATATATTCTCCACTGAAAAAAAAACTACTACAAGGATATACCTTTCAAAAGACTTTCTTAATCGGATTTGCTTTCCGGTTTCCGCCCGATAAAATTTCATAACGAATTTTTAAGCATTTAAACTTATAAATTTAAACTCGAGAGAAAAGAAAAATTCAAAATATATAAATCAGGCAACAATAGCATTATGAGGTATAAGTAACTTCATTATGATATCACATTTTGGTGATATGGTGATTACTAAGATTATGTCATTTCGAAAATATGCATCTCGCGAGTGGTTGTAATCAAGGCTTGCGACCAAAAAAGTCATATTGATTTTAATAAGGAGCGTTGTCAACCTAAAACTTGTCCATGAAATAGATCATAAATACGTATTAAAATTAAACAAGCTAAATAAAAAATGGAAAGTATAAGAACGTGAGCGATGGGTCAAATGACGCAAAACGGTAGAAGAACTCCATGAACGACAGAGAATTTCTGCTGAAATTGCTAATTAGTGATCTTAATTTTATCTTCTGGTTCATTTTAAGATACATTTATCACGGAATTTAATGAACTATTAAAGGATCAGTGTTATCAGTGTTGGAAATACATCAGTAATTGAAATTAAAAACGAAGGACTTCTAAATCTTAAAATTAAAATTCGCATTGTTAATCGGAATTGCGATGCAGTAATTACATACTGAACCAAGGGACATTTATAAAATAAAAACATAAAATCAACGATGTATCTTATTCAGCTTGCTTTGACATTGGTGAAGTTATTTAATCGTCCTTTTAACAAGGGATAGTTTATTTTAGATTCTAGCTTCCGAATTTTGATTTATCATATTTTTGATTCTTTGATTTAAAAAATCTGTTGAAGTTTTGGAGATATCACCATTTTTTCCATACAGGGCAAAGCCATTTTAGGACATGTTTTCACTTTTGTGTTCTCAGATGCATTGTAAATCAAAAACCAAAACTTGCAATTTCGATTAGATAAATTTTATCTGATCAATATTTTTTTTCATTCAATTTTCATGTCTTTTAGACGAACATTATCTTTATTTAATCTCTTTACTACCATATCATACAATAACAGATCCGCGTTATGTCACTCCCCTTCTTTTTTTGCATATTCACAAAAGCACTTTGTCGATTTTCGTTCTTACTCAAGTACAAAGAATTTACCCAATAAAGTAAAATTATTATTAAGTGAAATTGAAAACACGATAGGTAAATTATCTGTTAGGATTGTTTATTCTTTACGTATGTATTAAACAAACTTTAACAGCGACCGGAGGAGTCACTAAGGGAATTAAACAAGTGGTCGGATCTACTTATGGGTATATAAGATAGTTATTTCTCGGTATTAATATAGAAATTATAAACTTATCTTATATGTATTTTTAGAGGAAATTATCGATTAAAATGGACAGAACCTCCTCGCTCAGTCTTGGTTGTGAAAAAGCCTTTCACTGAATCCACTAGTGAGGCTTTCGTGGAAATTTTAAGGTTCAGAAATTTTTTCTTTTTCTTTTTCTATCAAAATTATCTTATTCCAGCAAAAATCTTTTGTTAGTTGGTTACGTAAATCTCATCCTAATATAAATATCATTGTTGAACCCGAGGTAATTAAAGAATTTGGAAATGAATTACCGTATGTAAATGTGATTCCACTAGGTATGAAATTTTTTTTTTTTTTTTTTTGATATATTTATGATTAAATTTTTTATTCCAAAATCTTTTAGGACAACAAGATGAATATGCACGTACTGTCGATTTCGTTATAACATTGGGTGGAGATGGAACAATTCTTCACGTTTCATCGCTTTTTAATCAATGCGTTCCACCAGTCATTTCATTCTCAATGGGAACATTTGGATTTCTACTTCCATTTCGTATCCTTCATAAATTCATGATTATAATTTTTTTAGTTATGATACATCAGTCTAGACCGATGGAACTTTTAAATAGTTATCGAGCATAAAAAATTAATCAATATAAATATATCGGTCCAATTTACATCTAATAATTTGAATTAGTACATTAACAACAATTTTTACCTTGACTCTGGTATATAGATATCAGACATTTTAAGGCTGCGTTAGAAGATATGATCAAAGGTGGCGTCTCATTGTTGCTTCGAATGAGACTTTCTTGTTCAATATGGACTGCAGAAGGGAAAAGGATTACGAAGAATGGCATTGAAATCGGTAACTATTGACTTTGTCACGAAGACTTACTTGTTCCAAGTTTGATAATGAATATTTATAAATACATATATATATATATATTTATCAGGCGATTTACAAGCCATGAATGAAGTAAATTTGCATCGGGGTCGTTATCCACATCTCACCGCAATCGATTGTTTTGTGGATGGACAATTTCTTACAGATGCTGTGGTAATTTCCAAAAACAAATAAAATCAAATCAAATCATATTTAAAAAACTTCATGATAACTGATTGCGTTTCGTCGCTAGGCGGATGGGTTAATTATTGGCACACCTACAGGCTCAACAGCATACTCATTATCAGCTGGTATGTGTTCTATTTAATATTACTTGTAATCTATCATTATAAATTCAACATTGAAGACCATAAATTAATTTCAAACGTTTTATATAGGAGGACCGATAATACATCCTTCTGTACAGAGTCTTATTATCACTCCTATTTGTCCAAGATCACTTTCATTTCGACCCATTTTACTACCATCGGGTGTAAGAATCCAATTAAGGGTAATTTACAAACGTATATTATTTGTATAAATTTTTTTAAATTTTTACACGTCTTTGTTAAACTTTTACTTTTAGATCGGCGAACAAAGCCGTGCGCCAGCCGAAGTCACTGTGGATGGAAGGGAAATATTTATGTTGAATAAAGGAGAATACTTGGAGGTAAAATATTTTCAACCATTCAATTGTTTCAAAATCTTGAGCTATTTATATTAATTAAATATTTAATAGGTACAAATGTCACCTTACCCAATCCCTTGTGTAAATAGAGTTGATGAAGGCGTTGATTGGGTTAAAGATATTAATGATTTGTTGAAATGGAATCAAAATTTTGTAAATAAACAATTACTTGTGCATGGGTTCTCATAGTCTATTTAATATAACAAAAGTTATTAATAAAAAAGTTACCCCACATAATTGTTCGATTGTAAAGAAATGGCTAAAAGAAATACCATTATTATGCATCTACGAAAAAGAATAATAAAAGATTAACAGTTCTCATATTTATTTAAATTAATCCTCGTGACAATTAATTAATGATGAAATTCGAGATATCCGCTAACGCTCTGAATATTTCAGCTGAAAGGTAAATCTGATTAACAAATTACGAATTATCATAATCACGCCCTAAAGAGAAGACGACCTCAGGATCAAAAATTCGAAAAAAAAGTGTTGCATAATTCTTTTCTACCCTATCATTATATTGGCTAATTTTGGTCAATACGTGCACGTTTTGAGTTATTTGAGTTATTTTTCAACGCATCGTCTTGTTTTTCTAGCTTGCGAATAATATGAGAAACCACATTTTTTTCACCCTTTCAAAACTGCAATAATATTAACGAGAAATTTCAACCTTAGGTTTTTCATGAGAACTGTCCAGTGAATAAAATCCTACAATTTCCAATTATTGCCTAATATAAATAAATTAGGTTCATATCGATATTATTTTAAGTTTTTTTTTTTTGATCTCTTTAATAAAGGATTTCAGCTCTTCTTGATTCAATTTGTTTTTATCATCACTGGAGCATATATTCTATATCCAAATCATCATTATAATATGAACTCTCTGAACTCTGTAAATAATTTATTATGAATATATCTTATTTTATTTAATTAATTTTTTTTTCTCATCATTTGCGATTTCTGAAGTGTTTCATTTACAAACGTTTTGCTAATTACTAAGCAACACACTGCGACAACTTGTTGAACACATCTTTGATTTCCCATTTATTATAAGGTTTTTTACCTATCATAAGTTGGAGAAATTGAAATCAGGATATCCCGTTTTTCCGTTTTTTTTTCATACCAAGGATTTTGCAATTATGTAATTGTTAAGTTTTAAATCCCGTAGGTATTTACTTTAGCAAGAAATTTCATAGGTAAAAGAATTTCAATTGATAGGAAAATTTCATTCATGTATCAAAGCACCTTTTTAAGTCGGGAAGAACAATTTACTTTAGCCCAAATCCCGAAGGCGTTGAGCTGAAATTCGTTTGTATTTTAGTCATCAGTAAATTCAAAATAAAAAGTCAAACGCTTTGGTATTCTTAAACTTTCGATATCATTTCGTAATAAATTCTAGAATGTGGTATTTCATATTCCTCCTTACTTTCTCAGATTTATAAGTTACTATGATTGCGAAGTAGACAAATGAAATTATTTTGGGATACTGTTATTTTTTTCGTTTTATTTTTTTATACTAAACATTTTTTTTTTTAACTTTCTTTATACTTTATAAATAAATAGCTTGTATGTTTATAAATAAATAACATTGTTCAGTCTAAATTGCTTGTTTGCTATGTATATTCAATAAATAAAGCTTTCTCATTTTTAAAAATAAAAAAGAAACAAATAACATTTATTTATGAAATTTTCTTTATTCTGAAATTTAAATAATGAAATAATGTTCAAAACAAGTTCGCATATATAAATCGAATCGTAAATTAAATCTTTGCATAATAAAAGTAATGCTATAATGCTTTTACATTGAAGAAATGTTAAATAAATAATATTAATAAATAAAGTATGTTACGAATGGTAAATAAAATCAATTTGCCTGCTTTCTTCTTCTTTCGAGAAGGAATAATTTCCATATTTTCTTTTCCCTCGCAGATAACAGCACTTTTTACCACCAGACCTTTCCGTATTTCGAACACGAATCATGAAACCACTATTAACACGAGTTGTTAGGTCTAAATCATAACGTTCTGCAAACTTATCCAGTGCAGTTCGTAATCAGTTTCACCGCTTCGAATTCGTGGGTGATTGAGCTTCGAAATGGCATTTGCATTATACGAAATAACCGGTTTAATCTTATCCATTCCAATTTTCCGAACAACTTAAAAACCTTTGAGTTTTTTTTACGCAATATATCCTTGGTAAATCCACCTGGAAGATGCGCACTTGATTGATATCAACACGAAATCTCCTCTTGATTGGCTTTAGTAGCACCTCTGCTCGACATGTTTTTTTTGGAACAAGCGTGCTAAATTTTTGGTATTGAAGTCCCAGATTTCTCTTCAGCAATATCATTATTCTCCGACAGCTTCTCCGTATCGATTCACTAAATATGCGTGACATTATAAATACGTAATCAATACTTCCAGAAAAAAATTTACTATAAATATACGTCCTTTTTAGAAAGAATTTTTTTCTCGTTTTATCAACAAAAAATGACTACGTTTCTTATAAACTGTTTGGCCATAGACGATTATTCTTGTGAAGACGTTTTAGAAATCAGAATTAATGGCAATGAGACTGTCGAAAATCTTGTGGAAATTATCAAGAAAAGTAAACTTGGTTTTAACGGCAAACTTCTAAAAATAGATCACCTTCCTGAAATGTTGAGTGGTAAACTAGCCTCCTCGAAGCTAATCCTTCCGCTAACCTTCATATGGTATTAAGAGGTGAAGAGCTGTTCGCAACGAAGATCATCTCTGAGTGCTTTAATTATAGGTCGTGTATTATCATCGAATCACCTTTTCCCCGCATTAGCTTCAAAAGATGTGTTGTTGAAAAAAAGCTTGTGCCCGGTGATAAAGTTATCTACCATTATAGCGATGGGTGAAATTGTTAATAAATCTAATAAACTTCAAATCCGATGCATCAAAGATCGTCAAGAATTTGACTCGAGTTCATTTGCTAAATTCATCAAACTAGCAATCGCACCATGTGATATAACAAGTAGAAATTGAAAAAACTTATGGATCGAATTATATGAGCCAAAGGAAAGGTTGAACTGGCATGATTTTCGTCATAGCGTGCTGAACAAAAGTAATGGTATGGTAAAACTTTACATTCTCCATTTTCTATTTTGACTTTTATAATGTATGGTTTCTAATATAAAATTTTCAGACATAACGAATCAGATGAGAATACCCACGCTGTCGTCACAACAAACAAAAGATGAAAATTCTATCAAAGATTACACAAAAGGTGTGTAATTTCATTTTTTTTTTATTCGATTATGGCTTCAATCTTATAAAAATTTTAACTACAATTTTTTTTGGATATATACAGTCCCCGCCAAAAGTAATGGCGGTCAATTTTTATAACTTAAACCATGCGATTTATTAATAAACCCAATTAAAATTTTTTTAAATAAAATTTGAATATCATAGTTGCAACTTTTATTAATTAATTAGTATTTAGTATGCGC